GAGAGCAGCCCTGTGGAGAAGGACTTGGGGACTAGTGGAATGAAAAGCTGGACATGAGCTGGCTGTGTGCACTCAGCCCAGAAAGCCAACTGTGTCCTGGACTGTGTCACAAGAAGTGTGGACAGCAGGTTGAGGGAGGTGATCCTGCCCCTCTACTCCACTCTGAAGAGACCCCACCTGCAGTACCGTGTTCAGCTCTGGAGTCCTCAGCACAGGAGAGAGACAGACCTCTAGTAGAGGGTCCAGAGGAGGGCCACAAAAATGATCAGAGGACTGGAACACCGCTGCTGTGAGGAAAAGCTGAGAGAGTTGGGATTGTTCAGCATGGAGAAGAAAAGGCTCCAAGGAGACCTTGGACTTGCCTGTCAGTGCTTAAAGGAGGCCTATAAGAACCAACAATGTTGGTTGGAAGAAACCTTCAGGATTATCGAGTCCAGCCTTTGTCCTAGTCCTACCAACACTACTAAACCATGACCCTCAGCACAACATCTGCCTGTCTCTTAAACACCTCCAGGGATGGTGACTCAACCACCTCTCCAGGCAGCCTGTTCCAGTTGCTGACAACTCTTTCAGTAAAGAAATTCTTCCTAATACCTGACCTGAACCTCCCTTGGTGCACCTTAAGGCTATTTTTCCTCGTTCTATCACTCGCCACTAGGGAGAACAGACAAACCCCCACCTCGCTACAACCTCCTTTCAGGTAGTTGTAGAGAGCAATAAGGTCTCGCCTCAGTCTTCTCTCCTCCAGGCTAAACAGCCCCAGATCCCTCAGCCTTTCCTCTTACGACACATGCTCCATGTGAAAGATGGGGACAAACTTTTTAGTAGGGCCACTAGTGATAGAACAAGGGGTAACAGCTTTAAACTAAAAGAGGATAGATTTATGCTAGATATAAGGAAGAAATTTTTTACAATGAGGGTGCTGAAACACTGGAACATGTTGCCCAGAGAAGCGGTAGAAGCCTCATCCCTGGAAACATTCAAGGTCAGGCTTGATGGGGCTCTGAACAACCTGATCTAGTTGAAGATGTCCCTGCTCACTGCGGGGGGTTTGGACTAGATGACCTTTAAAAGTTCCTTCCAACACAAACTGTTCTATGATTCTAGTGTTTGAAAAAGTGTACAGATTAGAAACTGAAATGTGCCACATAAAACCTGCTTAGCCTGAGTATGGTTACCAGGTATAATGTTGCTCTTTAGAAAAGTTAGAGTTGTATATTTACTTTTTTATCACAGAAGCAAGCTTTCTGATGTTTTTATTTTCACCTAGGTAAGAATTTTAATAAACTGTTTCAGATATTTATTTCAGTAAGCTATTCAATGTATTTTTTTCCAGTCATTTTCTGGTGGTGGATATAGGTTGGGTGACTCATCGCAAAAGCACTCTGAATACATATATGAAGAAAATCAAGATGTAAGTAAAATTCTGAATGTCAGGAAACAGAATCTCCGGCAGATGTCTGCTTAACCATGTTTACAGTTTGAAATGCCAGTAGTACTGTAACTATGTCTATGAGGAAAAAATAATTATCTAAATATTACAGTCATGTTAACTAGAAATTGTTAAAAGTGTCCACAGAGGACAGATGTTTGTTGGATACCCCTAAGGCCTCCATTATGTAATTTTCTCACATAAATTACTTCGAAATTCTTAGCAGACATTCCCTTCAGTTACTTTCCTCCAGCTGTTCTGCATTCTCTTAACTATGCTAACATTTTAATCCTCTTAGGTTAGGAATTGTTTCTTGTTATGGGCTTGCAAAGTGGCCAGTCTCATACTGGAGGGCATGAGTGTGTTCCAGGAATGGTGAAGGAGCAGATTAGAGGCCTTTTGAGAGTTGTCTGGCCTTTCTTTCCTCTCACTTGAAAAGCATGAAGTGTGAGGGAGAGGATGGGGAAAACCAAAGTTTTCTACACTTTGCCATTCCTGTGACTGGCCAAACAAATGTTAAGCTCATGTAGAAAAAACCCCAATGAATGACTAAGGCCTAAATCTTACTATACATCAAAAATTTTATAATTAATCTGTATGAAATTAAATGAGTTATTTGTCTAACTTTACTTTTTTTTACTTCACTGTTTTTGCTTTGTAGGTTCAAATTTTGCTGAAATTATGGAGAAACGGCTTCAGTTTAGATGATGGCGAGTTGAGATCCTATACAGACCCAACAAATGCTCAGTTTCTTGAGTCTGTTAAAAGAGGGTAAGTTACAATGGCGAATTTTTTGAGGTATGTCTTTCAAGTGAAGTGAAGAAAAATACACATTTATAATTATTAAAAGCTCCAGGCTTCTTTTCTGCCTGCACCCATAAAATATATTCTACGTTTCTCATCCAATGCACGGGGCATTAAAAAATTTGGAATGCTGGTTATTTCTAGTGGTTTTAACTCTGACAGACAACTTTTAGTTTCACATGCTTTCTTAGAGCATTCTCTAAGAATCTCTCAGCTCACTGGTTTTCTTTCTTCCTTTAGGATGGAATCAATTCAGAAAACAATTGGATGTCTGTGTCTTTTAAAGTAAACATACTAATAGTATCAACTCACATAATACTATGTAAGGTTTTTGTATAATTTTGTATTGCAGTTCAGAACGTAATTGGAGAACTTCTTATTTTTGTAATTAAGGGAAATTCCTGTGGAACTGCAGCGACTTGTTCATGGTGGCCAGGTTAATTTGGATATGGAAGACCACCAAGAACAGGAATATGTGAAGCCTAGACTGCGATTCAAAGCTTTCAGTGGCGAAGGGCAAAAACTTGGAAGGTAAAAAATACTAGTTGTATCAAAATCTACCAACTTTTACTAGGATTTGATTAAAACTTTAAGTCACGATGCAAAAATTTATAGTGAGAGCTGTTTTTTTAAAAGCAAACAACCAGGGAAATTGTACCTACTTCCCTAGATGAAATAATACTGCAAAGCCTGGATTGTGGGAGAGGAGAGGGCTCAACTGTTAACCTCTGATTGGAGCCCCCACTTCCCTCAATTTTAGTGTCATCTCCAACTACAGTATACATATATGTAGTAAAAAAAAAAAAGAAAAAGTAATGATTTAGAAAAGCTGGTTCTGTTTCATTTGCTGTCCTGCTGCAAGGGTAGGCAGATGCTTTCCTAACTCTTAACGTGTATAATTCAAGTGAACTAATACATAATGTGCCAAAATTCATTCCTGTGACTGAACACTTCAGACTACTTTGTTCAAAAGTGCATCTCTGTTCAGCTTAAATTGGTCAGTGTAAGTAACTAGTAATGTGATCTCGGCTCTGCCAGTCATCAACTTTTTTTACATAACAGTTATGCGCTTTATAGCGTATTTTCCAGCTCACTTGATATCAGCTGTTGAATTGCAAATATTTTTAGGTTTCTATTCAGGATTGCATTTAGTCATGTAATATGTATGGTTGCCAAAATAAAGTATTACTGATGTACTGCTGCATGTAATCTAATTCAGCAAGTGATTCTTAACTGTTTCTAATCTGTATTTAAAAAATGAAGAAATGTGCTCAGTAAAACTGAGAAGGTCATAAGCTCTGGTAGGGGTGACGTAGGGAACAATTGTAAACAATAACTTCTTCACCTGAGCACTTGCTCAGTTTATTAAAGATAGTAGGTGGGGAAGAGGGGAGGTTCTGTCTGTAAGAAAACGTGCACACCTGTTTTGTGGTATTTTGATTTGTTTTGGTAGCTTATGAAGTGTTAGGTTTGTAAGCAACAAAAGCAGCAGCCAAATGGTTATCTCTAATTAAGTTTATAATCTTTTTGTACTAAATGTACTAAAAAATTCCATGCTTACTATGTGGTAATGTCAATTACTTGTTAATATCATTTGTTCTCTAAAAGGATGGAGATACCTAGAATCATAAAATCATGCTCCTGAAAGGAATTACTAAAGCACTCTGGGTCAGTTTAGTGGACTGTTGTAATGATGTATGATTGGTTTTATTAATATATTCCGGGAAGTATAGTATATAAATCTTATTATAAAGACTGTTGTTCCACGCTCTGTAAGCATAAACAAAAATAGTTTTGCTTGCACTTGATTGCCTATTTAAAATCATGCAAATATAACCATATGCACAGTGAAAGAAAAATAAAATGAAGTATTCCAATTATTGACAAGAAACTGCAAAAATAGAAACACTATTTATGTCTTTCTTAGAAAAGCTTTGTTTATACTTAGTTGAGGTAACTTGGAAAGTATTTTTATTGCTTATTTGTACTAGCTATACATGATATTCATTCAATGAAAGAGACATCTGAAACATTATTCAGTTCTGGTTTGACTCCATTAATAACATACGGTTTATTTTTTTCAATCCTCTAGCCTTACCCCTGAAATAGTCAGCACACCTTCTTCCCCAGAGGAGGAGGAGAAATCCATTCTTAATGCACCCATTCTGATTGATGATTCCTTGCCAGCGACTAAGATTCAAATTAGATTAGCCGATGGAAGCCGTTTAATACAAAGATTTAACCAAACACACAGGTAAATTGATTCTGCATTGATGCAGGTAACCATAACAATTTTGATAAGTTTATGTTTAGTCATTAAATGAGTATCAACAAGACAGCAAAAATTGGGAAAAAATATATTTCCACTGAAATGCTATAGCTCTGTGTCATTTCTATAACATAGATGTACTGATAAAAGCAAAATTCTGTAATGGGAAATGCAAGATATTTCGCAAATGCAGAGTCACAAACTTTCATGACCAGTTATGTCCTGTGGTTTGTAAGGACACAGTACCAGCCATAACTGTTTTCGGGGTGACTGAAATCTGGAAAACCTTGCTGTGTAGTCATCCCAGCCCTGGGCCTGTCTTGGGAGCAGCGTGTGGCTGATTTAGATGGCCCTGTTAAGGCACTTTATTGTGGTTTGGGCACATAGTCTTGAGCTGGAATATAGTCCACGCTACCGGTAGAGAAAGGCTTGGGCCCATAATCAAAAGCTCCAGCTTTCTACCTTGCTGTACTTGTGACTACGACTAAACATGAACGAGTTGTAAGTGTAGACTGCACCCCATATACAAAAAGGCAAATGGACATAACATAGTCCTTCACAGTTCTGGCATGTAGGCTGGACTTACTGCTGAGGACCAACCCCTGTTTTGTTGTGGATGGTCATCTCCTAGGAACTGGCAGCGTGTGAACTTGGTGGATTTTTTAGATCTGTTAGTAGTTTGATGATTAGAGCTTGCCATCAGATTTATTGACATTGTTGGGGCATTGCCACAAATTGATGTTGGCCAACTCCATTTGTTTGCCTAAGAGGTTGTGTTAGTGCAAGGTTCTGCAGAACTCTGCTTTGCACTACGTGGCTAGGAGAACTTTGGGCAGAGGGCAGAGATTTGGGCACAACAAGCAGAGTTCAGCCCTGGCCCGAAATCTGTACCATGGTGTTAGAACACAGCTGAAACTGAGCTTGGATCCTGCCTTGAGGGTGGTCTTACGGACCCAGTTCCACATTAATATTGTTATAGAGAGAGTTAATCTGTTTCCTTTTTTCCTTCTGGCTCAGAATAAAGGCAGAAGCAATGTGCAGCTTTCTTCACTTGACAACATAGATAGGCCACAATGAGGCAACGTTAGCTGGGATGCAAGTAGGGAGGAAAATACAGCAATATTTTTTCATATTTTAGCAAGCCTGATAGTCCAGGCACAGATCCTTTCTTCACACCACCTGCTGGAGAAGTGCCTTAGATAGAGAGCAGGGCTCATCAGGCGCCTCTGTAGCTATGATGTGTTTTCTTTTGCCTACCTGAAAGAGTTAGAAGCAGTAAACTTCCCGGTAATATCGGTAACCAAGGATGTGTTGACAGAAACTGCTTTCAATCATTATTAACTTTCTTTTGGATGCGACTCCTTTTAGTCATATATATGATCAAAATCAGCTACTAAAGTGCATTGTTTGTATTGCAAGCCTGCAAGACTGATAGGAAGTTGAAGTCTCAGCTTATTTTGGCTACAAAAAATTTGCCTGCTTATTAATTACAACAGATCGTCAAAGACCTATTCTCAGCTTAGGAGAAAAACCTCAAATTTCATTTTTTTATTTCTAAAATCTTACTTATTTTTCTTCCACATCTTAAAAAAAACTAAATTATTCTTGTTATACTGTTGATGTGGTTGTTTTATGAACAGAAGTTCGATGCCAAGTGAAAGTAGGGGAGATCTCTTGCTATACGAAGTGCATTAATAATCCCCCTCTGCTTGCGCATCCTTGTCACCTTATATTTTAAGATTACCCTTTCATTAATAATGTAGCCTTTTTTTGAATGTTAGAATGTCAGAGGTTGGAAGGGACCTCTAGGGATCGTCTAGTCCAACCCCCCTGCCCGAGTGAGATCGGCTAGGACAGGCCACACAGGAATGCGTCCAGGTGGATTTTGAAAGTCTCCAGAGAAGGAGACTCCACAACCTCTCTGGGCAGCCTGTGCCAGTGCTCTGTCACCCTCACAGGAAAGAAGTTTCTCCTCATGGTGAGGTGGAAATTCCTATGTTCTAACTTAAACCCATTATTTCTTGTTCTATTGCTGGGCACCACTGAGAAGAGATTGTCTCCTTCCTCTTGACACCCACCCGTCAGATATTTCTATATGTTAATAAGATCCCTTCTCAACTGTCTCCTTTCAAGGCTAAACAGCCCCAGGTCTCTCAGTCTCTCTTCATGGGAGAGATGTTCAAGTCCCTTAATCATCCTCATAGCTCTCTGTTGGACTCTCTCCAGTAG